CATGGTGATTTTGAAGGCGTACCAGGAGACTGGCACCATGGCACAGAGAGCTGGTAACACACAGTGACACAATCAGTGACATAGACACACCATCAGTCACAGTCACTCCATGACTATCTGTACGCAATTGGCTGCCGCGTTTCGCCCACAAACATACAGTCAATTCACTTTACAATGTGTTCTGTGAAGCGCTTTGGGACGTCCTCCCGACGTGAAAAGCGCTATATCAAATGCGAGGATTATTATTATTATTATTATTCTGTGAAGCGCTTTGAGACATCACACCGAGCCGGGCTGACACCCACTGAACTGGACTAACACGCGCACACCGAGCCGGGCTGACACACACACACACACACTGAGTCAGGCTGAGACACGCTGAGCCGACGCAGTGACGGTGTAAAGGTGAGGTCTGTGTTGAATACTGACCGGCCATGATGTAGGTGACGCCCCCAGCCAGTGCGATCTTTCCCTTGACCAGGGGGTCTGAGCTGCCCACCTTCACACACTGTAACCCCAGCAGAGCCACGATCCCAGCCAAGAAGCCCAGGATGATGGAAATGATCATCAGCGCCTGCGAGGCACGGACATAGTCTGGAGAGAGAGAGAGAGAGAGAGTGGCTCAGTGTGACAAACACTCCACTCACACTCGCTCACAACCTGCACATTCACCGACGTACACTCTCACTCACTCGTATCATTTGTGAATATTATTATTATTATCTCACACATATTTTTGTAAGGGTCATGTCATTTTGTGTTGGTGTATAACATAATAAATCGCGGTCTTACATTTCCCTTTATTGTGATAATGTAATTTAATATATTATCGATTAATATTAAAAAAATTATAGTATGATGTTATATTAAGATAACCCTTATTTATCAATATGTTTTTATAAACATTTTTATAAATAAAGTTATGAAATTATAATAGTACATTATAATAATATAGTACATTAACAACTGAGGGTGTGCAGCCCATCTTATAATCATATTATATATTAGTTTATCATAACTTATTTTAATAAATCATAATTTTACACATTAATAATATCTTAACAGACAGTATGTTGCAATATTACATTGTTAGTGCTTATCGTGATTCACAATATACCACAACATATTTTAAAAATGGTGTACATAATGATATTGCGCAATTATATATTGCATTTAAGCGCTATTATTATTATTTATTCATAAAGTATATTTCTGATTTTTATTTGTAGAAATTAAAGTAATGTGACAACAATAATATTATCACGAGTGATGATATCAGCAGAACAACGTGATGACACGAACGCCGTGGAGTCCTGTAGCTCAGTGGTTAGAGCACTCGCTTTGCAAGCGAGAGACCTGAGTTCAATTCCAGGCAGAGGGCGAAACCTTGGGCAAGTTTCCTTACTCCACACAGAGCCTAATAATAATCCTCCAAAACCAAAAACAATAATAAATTGGTCATTTTCAATCTACGACTGTTTGTGGGACATTGCTGTGCGCAATTGGCTGCCGCGTTCGCCCACAAACATACAGTCAATTCACTTTACAGTGTGTTCTGTGAAGCGCTTTGGGACGTCCTCCCGACGTGAAAAGCGCTGTATCGAATGCGAGGATTATTATTATTAATATATTATTATTAATAACCGCCCGACCATCGGTGGCCTTCAGCCTCTCAGCCCCGAGGCTCTGGAACTCCATCCCCAGTGCCTTCGCCGCTTCCTCCCTTTCCTCCTTCAGGGCCTCGAGACCTTTCTCTTTGACCTTCAGCCTTCAGCTCCGCTCTCGACTCTCTTCCCCCTCCTCACCCCCTCCCTCCCTCCCCTCCCCATCCCCCCCCTCCTCACCCCCTCCCTTCCCTCCCCTCTCCCTCACCATCCCCCCTCCTCACCCCCTCCCTTCCCTCCCCTCCCCCTCACCATCCCCCCCTCCTCACCCCCTCCCCCTCCCCTCACCATCCCCCCTCCTCACCCCCTCCCTTCCCTCCCCTCACCATCCCCCCCTCCTCACCCCCCCCCTCCCCTCACCATCCCCCCCCTCCTCACTCCCTCCCTCCCCTCCCCTCACCATCCCCCCCCTCCTCACCCCCTCCCTCCCCTCCCCTCACCCTCACCATCCCCCCCCTCCTCACCCCCTCCCTTCCCTCCCCTCCCCTCACCATCTCCCCCCTCCTCACCCCCTCCCTCCCTCCCCTCACCCCCTCCCTCCCCTCTCCCTGACCATTTCCCCCGCAATGCTCGGGTCCTGACCCAACTGTACAGCGCCTCGGGACGTCCTCCCGACGTGAAAGGCGCTCAATAAATGGAATCTTGTTGTTGTTGTTGTTGTTGTTAAACGATTGTAGACGAGATCGTCCCGACTTTAAAATGCGCGGGAAAAATTGCGCGGGACAAAACAGCGCGGGAGAGAGTTTGCGCGCGGGGAGGGGGGGGCGGGGCGGAGAGGCGAGTGGGATGAAGTGCGCCTGCGCGGAGGTCGGGGGGGTGGAGCTCGGAGCTGGGACGGGGCGCATGCGCCAAACGCAGCGTCGGTTAAAAAGGGCGGGAAGCGCGCGCCGGAGCCGTTAGTCCCCCCCCGCGGTGACGGCCCCGGAGCGGCGCGAGAGGCGGGGAGTGAAGGCACCGCACCGCCCGGTGTTCGCCGCGGGGAGAAGCGCTGACAGCAACCGACAGGAAAGGCCACAGGTAATCGTTGATAATAATAATAATAATAGCAACAGCAGTAATCGCTGACCGTCTCACACGGGACGTCGACGACGAGGCCTCAAAGCGCTTCACAGAATTTACACTGTAAAGGGGAGGGTCCGGCCCGGCTCCCCCCCCCCCCCCTCCCTCAACACCTCACTCCCTCCCTCACTCCCTTCCTCACCCCCTCACTCCCTCCCCTTCCTCTCCCCCCCCTCACACCCTCCCTCCTCACCTCCTCCCTCCCTCAACACCTCACTCCCTCCCTCACTCCCTTCCTCACCCCCTCACTCCCTCCCCTTCCTCTCCCCCCCCCTCACACCTCCCTCCTCACCTCCTCCCTCCCTCAACACCTCACTCCCTCCCTCACTCCCTTCCTCACCCCCTCACTCCCTTCCTCTCCCCCCCTCCTCCTCACCTCCTCCCTCCCTCAACACCTCACTCCCTCCCTCACTCCCTTCCTCACCGACTCACTCCCTCTCACCCCCTCACACCTTCCCCCCCCACCTCCTCCCTCCCTCACTCACCCCCTGCCTCCCTCACCCCCTCACTCCGCCCTCCCTCCTTCCATCGCTCTCTCCCCTCCCCCCTCGCTCCCTCGCTCCCTCCCCCCCTCGCTCCCTCCCTCCCTCCCCCCTCGCACCCTCCCTCCCTCCCCACCTTCAAATCCCACCTGAAGACCTTCCTTCTCAATCATGTTCACGGTCATCTCCCAACACCCCTCCCCCACACCCCCACCACCTCCCCTGCTCTCCGCCACCCCCCCCCCCCGGCTCGGGGTCAAGCTCTCTGGGACGCTATCCCCGCATGAAGGGACGAGGTGTAGTTGTAGGGGCTGCTGTAGTGACTGTGCATCCTGCGGGCGGAATGTGGCAGCCAGTTGCGCACAGCAGTGTCCCACAAACAAATTGTGGGTTTGAAAGTGTCCAAATCTTTTAAAAGAAATTATTTTCCCCGGAAAAGCGAACCGCCAACCGACTGACAGCCGGGATCCTGTTTACTGCCCGGTAAACAGAGGCGTGCGTCTGGAGTAAGGAAACTTCCCATAGGTTTTGCCTTGACCGGGGTCCTCTCGCTTGCGGGGCGAGTGCTCCAACTAACCACTATCTTTAGTTGCTTATCTTACCTCCCGCAGCAAGAGTTCAACGCAAGGAGGAGATTTTGCGAGGTTATCTATGGTGAGGAGTGTAAATATGCATCCTGTAGTCCTGTAGTCTAGTGGTTTGAGCACTCGCCTCACAAGCAAGAGGACCGGGGTTTGATTCACGGGCAGGATGACATGATGGGCAAGTTGCCTTACTATGCTAACGCCTCTGCTTACCCAGCAGTATGTAGGATACCGCTTGTTTGTCGCCTGGTGGATTGCTTTTCCAGGCGTAATAATTCCTTCAAAGTAATAAATAAAAATAATTTTACTCAAACGCTGCTTGCACAACTGGCTGCTACATTTCGCCCACAAAATATACAGTGAATTCACTTTACAATGTATTCTGTGAAGTGCTTTGAGACATCTCGAAGACGTGATAAGGCTCTATATCAAATGCAACGATTATTATTATTTCTGAAGTTTACTTGAGTTAGAGTTATAAAGTGAAGTATTGTTGAACAGTGAGTGGATATTGATAGGTTTAGACATATTCAAACAATATAATTCACTCTCACACATTCTCTCGCCTCATCACTTACTGCTCAGTCCGAACAATGAGAGGAAGTATCTGCAGTTGTAGACTCCAGTTGAGTCGCTGGCACAGCTCTTCCATAGATTCTCGTAGATGGTGGAGGTGGTGATCACACTGCCATCCAGCGTGGACACCTTCCACTCCTCGTTGGCCAGACACACGGCAGTTAGGACCCAACCGCTCACACCCAGAACAAAGCCCACCGTATCCACTCCCGACATCACTCCCTCCCTCAGCCTCTCAGGCTGGAACTCGGCTGCCCTCACAGTCACTGGACTGGGTTCACAGTCACTGGGCTGCCCTCACAGTCACTGGACTGGGTTCACAGTCACTGGGCTGCCCTCACAGTCACTGGACTGGGTTCACAGTCACTCGACTGGGTTCGCAGTCACTGGGATGGGTTCACAGTCACTGGGCTGGGTTCACAGTCACTTTTGTGCCCTCAGGGTCACTGGGCTGCCCTCACTGTCACTGGACTACCCTGGCTCTTGCTCGCTCTATATTATCACTCACTCCCCCTCGCTCTCTCGCTATCTCTCGCTCGTTCTCACTCGCTCTCGCTTTCCCTACTTTGAACTAACTCACCAGATGTTGTAAAGCCTGATATTAGCAAAGGGGGCGGGTAGATATTCACAGGTGCATCCACTGCAAAACATGGCGCGGAGCTGGATCCACGTCCATCCCAGGGGCTGTCAGGTTGCCTATCGCTGACAAGCCCTGCCCGGCCTGCAGAAACCCTGCTGGTCGCGGACTGGCCAAGACAGTCTGGCTTCCCTCAGAATCCAGTTCGGGACTTCCAACCCCCAACGGTCAGTTGTCTATCTCAGCCGATGGTTCATCCGTAGCCGGCAAACACGGGGTTAAACGGGTCAGCGTTACATGTTACCGGAATAGAGCACAGACTCTGACCCACAACACGCTGAGCAATCCAATAGGGAGCCATTCATTAGCATTCTCACTCAGACGAGACGTTAAGTCGAGTTCCCTGTCTGTTCAGGTGGATGTTGAAGATTGCTCCCCATCGTGTCTGTGCTGGTGCTCGCTCCCAACACACTGGAGCTCTCTACTCTAACTCCATTCCCTGCTCTCTCCCCATCATGTCTGTGCTCGCTCCCCCACTGGAGTTCTCTACTCTAACCCCATTCCCTGCTCTCTCCCCATCATGTCTGTGCTCGCTCCCCCACTGGAGTTCTCTACTCTAACCCCATTCCCTGCTCTCTCCCCATCATGTCTGTGCTCGCTCCCCCACTGGAGTTCTCTACTCTAACCCCATTCCCTGCTCTCTCGCTCCTCATCATGTCTGTTCTGGTGCTCGCTCTCCAACTGGAGCTCTCTACTCATAACCCCATTCCTTGCTCTCTCCCCTCCGTGTCTGTGCTCAGACATATCAAGCATAAACACGCAGACATACACACACAGACCCTGATATTAACAAATGGGTGATGAAGTTGTGAAGTGAGCAAGTGTAATTACTGTTATGGACACAAGTGTTTTATGTGCCGTATTGATCCCTGTTATCTGCTGAAGTGCGACGCAGGAGTGTATACCTCCCCCCTCACCACACCAGACTGTGTGGGGCGACAATGCTAATCATTCCGGGATACAAGCAGGCATTAAGGACGCACACACAGCACATGCATGGCACACACACGGCACACATGCACACATACGCGCACACAATGACCATCACACACTCCCTGAGCCTCACACCCACAATACACACACATACACACATACAGCGCCCAGACACACCCACAGCGCACACACACACAGTGACCACCACAGACTCTCGCTGAGCCTCACACCAATAATAAACACATGCACACACACAACAGCGCACACACAATGCATGCACACACAGCGTGCAAACACACACAGAACAAGCTGCAGTGACAGTAGAACAGTAGATAGGCACACAGGCAGTGTAGGCAACATGGGAATGTGAGAGGGACACAGGGCTTTTACCCTATCAGTAGGAATGCAATTGTGTTTCATTGCTTAGTACGGACTGACCGAGATATGGATATCTGTCAGCTTCGCAGAGTGATAATAATAATTCTTATATCTGATGTCAGGAGGAGGACTCAAAGTGCTTGACATGATTCGCTACAAAGTGTAGTGACTCTGTGTTACAGAGATGTCCCCGCAAACAGCTGTGAAGTGAGTGGGCGATTTTATCTGGGGGAGTGCAGCCAGGACACCAGGAGAGAGAGAAAGATACTCCCTTGTCTTTTCCCGATAGCACCACGGGAGAGCGTTGACATCTACCTGAAAAGAGCTCAGACAGGGAGTGAGGTTTAACATCTCATCCAAAGGTCAAGATCATTGACAATGGGGAGTTCTTTGACCCCAGTTATCCCTCTATCTCTCTTTCCTGCTGCTTATCCAGCTAGGACCACCCTCCCCGTTAGTTAGGGCTTTGCCTGAAAGGTTAACAGGAGCTGAGGGGGAGGATTCCCTGCCCTCAGTGACTGGTCTGCCCTTCCAGGTCCTGTCGATGGGCCGGGCTGTGCCCTGCGGACACACCAGGCTCAGGAACCGGACCAGAGCTTGGCTGGAGACTGTCACTCATTAACTAATGACGAGTCCAATGATGTCAGTCAAGGCTGTGTGTGGGTGGGGGGGAGTGCGGAGAAAGTGTAGCCACCATCAGTGTTAATGAGTTACTTTGCCTCAGGCTACACAATGCACAATACAGGCTGGAGGACAATACACATTAACCCAATGGCCCGGTTCCTCTCACAGGTGGTCAATTTCCCCCAACCTGCGGAGACATCTCCGTCACCGGTAATAAAGTAATCAATATTGATTGCGTTTCATACAGCTCTTATCACATCCAGACACCGCTCAGCTTCTCACACCCAGATCACCCTCAGGTCACACTCACACACAAACGCACACTCTCACTCACTCACACACACTCACTCACTCACTCTCATTCACACACTCACACGCATTCATACACACTCACTCACATTCACACATAGGAATTTCTATGTGTAGGTTGGATGCATGGAATTCTCAGTTTGGATTTGGAGACTCTTAAGCACGGTAATGGATTTCCACATGTGTAAGGCACGCGGCTGACCAAAAAAATCACTCGCACACACTCACTCACACAACAATTTTTCATTTACCCAGTACCCCTCATGCGGAGCAGAGTCTCGGAGCACTTAACAGTGAGGAGCCTGATGGTGAGCCAGGAGGAGGTGAATGTAAGCATGGTCGAAGAGCAAAGTCTTCAGGCTTGATCTAAAAGAGGGAGCAAGGCAGAAGGATTGAAGTAGAGAGTTCCAAAGTGGCTGATGGTGGAGCAGATGGGACGAGGGGCAAATAGGAGGTCGGAGTCAGATGAGCGGAGGCAGAGGATAGTGAATTGGGGGGTCAGCAGGTCGGAGATGTAGGGCGGTGCCAGGGCATTTCAGGAATTCAGGACAAGCATGAGGATCTTGAAGTCAATCCGTTATGGGATAGGGAGACAGTGGAACGAGGCACACACACTCAAATATTCATTTACACACACATGCATTCAATTAAACACTCCTCTTCCACTATCACTGACTGTCTCACACTGTGTGTCTCTAACTGTGTGTCTCTCACTGGGATTGTTAATATTAAACTTTTGTTCTTTGTTTTCTGCTGTTTACAGTCCAACTCAAATCACTGTTCACAGCACCCATTGGCTTCATTTCTCAGTGAATTATCTCAGCCCTCACTGTCCTCCAACCCCCTCAGCTCTCACCCCGAGTCAGAATAGACATGCGCCTTGGGACATCTCTCAGACGTGAAAGGCACTGTGTAAATGTCAATTTGTATTTGTATTTTATTATGTGCCTCAATCGTGTTCAGTCTCGCGAATCAAGAGGTTGTGGATTCGAGCTCCATGTTGGGGACTCTGAGCTCACAGTCCAGGCTGGGGGGAGAGAGAGAGAGACTTTGTCCTTTGGATGAGACATTAGACCTCACTTCCTTAGACCTCACTTCCTATCTGTGCCCTGTTGAGGCGAATGCTAAAGATCATCCCACAGCACTGTCGGGAAAGAGAGAAGGGATTTTCTCTCTCTCGGTCGACAATTTCCTAGATGAAATTGCTTGCTCACGTCATGGTTGTTTGCGGGGACCTCACTGTGTGCAAATCGGCTGCCTTGTTTGCCCACAAAACACAGTGAATCCTGTGAAGTGCTTTGTGTTGTAATCCAATTGATTCAAAACTCCTCCACCTGTATACTCATCCACACAAAACTCCACAACGCCATCATCCCAGTCCTCGCCAGCCTATCACATACACTAAACTCTGTACCCTAATCACCCCAGTCCTCGCCAGGTTCCACTGGCTCCCTTTCACAGAATGGATCAAATTCAAGATCCATTTACTCATTTTCAAATCCCTTCACGCCCTGGCACCTCACTATCTCTGCTTACCCCCAACCCGGAATCTCCATCGGCTGCCTTCTGCCTCCGCCATTTCCCTAGTCCCCTCCACTCCACCATCAGCGCCATACCTTCAGCCATACGTCTTGAAACTCAATCACTCCCTGCCTGCACCCCTCCACCTTGCCTCCTCTTTGCTTGTCCTCATACCGCACCTGAAGAAACTTCCTTTTCGCCTGTGCTTTCTTTGCTGTTAAGCTCTAACCTCCGCAGCTGTTAAATGCAGAGGCACTGATCGGTTGAAAGGCACTGTGTAAATGTGAGCTGTGGCTGTCAATGTCACACACATATACACACACATTCCCAGAGCTGAAATCAGGAGTGATAACAACATGCTCGAGAACAAATGAAATGGATTTCAGTTAGGAAATAATAACTGGGGATACAGTATATAGTTTGGGACACGACATGTCAAGCGACTGCCAGGATGATGGAAGGCGAACTTGGTCTTCTTTAATACTGGCAAATTCTTATGTTCTTATGTAGGTGACAGGTGGGACTGAGTTTAATGATTGAAACGGAGCAGCAAGGACAGGAGGCTGGTCTGTCACTGAGTGGTGGTACCAGGTGTGTGAGGCAGAGTGTTTCCCAGCCCCCAGGTCAGGGTCAACATCAATCGGAGAGGCTAGGTACCTCCCTTCCCCCCCCAGGCCTGGGCCTGAGAACATAACACCAAAATGTTCTGTATCGTAGTGGTTAGAGCATTCGCCTTGCAAGCGAGAGGAGCCGGGTTCGATTCCCAGTCAGCGTGAAGCGGTAGGCAAGTTTCCTTAATCCACACACATGCCTCTGTTTACCTAGCAGTAAGTAGGAACCTGGTTGGTGGTTGATTGGCAGATCACTTTTCGGGGGTAATAATAATCAGCTATTGGCTACCACGTTTCAGCCACATTATACACAGTCACTACATTTTGTAGAATATTCTGTGAAGCGCTTTGAGATATCTCAAAGATGTGATAAGGCTGTATATGAAACGGTAAGGATTATTATAATGTCAGGCATTCATTGGCGGTGTCTCTGATAATTTGGCGCTATCTTTTCCCATCAACGCTGCAGTGGAACGCCAGCCTGGACTGTGAGCTCAGAATCCCTGACATGTGGTTTGATAGACTGAGCTGACTGAGCTATGCTGTACCTTTATAGCACCTTATCGCGTTGAAATGTCACTCAAGTGCATCCCAACTGTCGGTAGGATTAAGCAGCTTGTGC